CTCCGTAATGGTGAATCTGACATGATCTTCCAGATCGGAAGAGATGGGATGATTCAGGAGTCTGAGAAAAGGAGTCATCTGAGGGATTCTTCTCCAGGTGAGCTGTTAGGGTTAGGGGTTTTGAGTTTTTGAAGCCACCTGGGAAGATGACGGTGGGAAGAAAGAGGACAGATGACACTGTTAAGACAGATCTGGGTTCCTTCTCCAATTTGAATGAGCAAAACATAAGCCTTCTAGAACCGAATATTCCAAGAAATGCAGAACATTCAGTTTTCCTGCAGGCCATGCCTATTTGGCATTCCTCGGGGGTAGCCGAGCAGTTTTCCAGTGTTCTTGAAAATATTCCAGTGCCACCACAATTCATTTTTCCCACCTATTTTCCATCCTTGTTATTATCTCTGAATCTAGAATGTCAGCTGAAGTGAGGTATTTTTGTACTGTACTGTTCATTTTTGATAGTTCCCTTCATGGCTTGGGACTAGGTTATCTCAGGGACCGTCTCTTGCCGGTCACATCCACCCAACCCACTCAAGCAGGGAGGCAAGGAATGTTGCAGGTCCCATCCCCTAAGGAGGTACATCTGGCGGGACCAGAAGAAAGGCCTTCTCCATGAGGCTCCCTCCCTTTGGAATATTATTCCTTCAGAAATTAGACTGGACCCCACACTCTGACACTTTTGTAAGGCCTTGAAGATGCCATTTGTAAGGCCTTGAAGGTGCCATTTTGTAAGGCCCTGAAGATGCCATTTTGCCAGTGGGATGGAGCCCATTAAATGGCTGATATGGGGGGGGTGTTGTCGCTGAGGAGGAGCGAGGGGTTATATTATCATTTTATTTTTCTCTATTATATTCCTTCTACATTGCGTTTTTATTTTCTGTAAGCCGCCTAGAGTCACTGTGAGTGAGTAGGCAGCTATATAAATTTTCCAAAATAAATAAATGAGAAGGCATACTAAAAATAGGTGAAGAAAGAATGGTGGTTTAACTGAATTAGCCAAGTATTTCAGGCCAAATGTTTAGAAACCTGACTGTGGGCCTCTGCAAGCTGTTGTAAATGCAACCCGGTTGAAAAGCAGCCAAAATACAATCGTGACTGTGGGGTAGAATAGTATGTGTGTGTGTGTAACAGTTGCGACTTTGAGGATGGGTCATTATTACCTTTCTTGAAGTCTGTCATAAATTTGAACTGTCATTAGGACCAGTCATAGGTTGAGGACTACTGATAGTGAATTAAATAGCCTAGAAATCAAACTGTCATATTGCATTTCAGGCCTGAATCCCAAATAATGGTATTTTTTTCCATAATTAAAGAATGTTAAGGAATAATTCAAAGTTTGGTATTGAAACCAAATCCACATTTTTTCCCTTTTCTGGCTTTGCTGGCCACTCCCTTGTTACTTCTTTTGCCTCTGTCTTCAAAACAGATTATCTTTGATTTCCTTGCAGAGAGTCTGCCTCCCAGAAAAAAACAAATGAATGAACATGCTCTTAAGAATTCTTGGGAGGTCCTTTCAACCATTAGTGGCCATCCTTTCCCATTCTTGTATCTTAGATATTTTTGAACTGTAGTTACCAACCTCTCATGCACCCAAGGCCACTGGTCTGGAGTGAGCTGGAAAGTCAAGTTAGGAAAAGTTATTTCCGTTTATATGTTGGCAGCTCCTGCAGACCTTACTTATTTTTTTAATGATTGCCAAAAAAATAATGTCTGCACCAATATCATTTGTTGTCATTATGTTGCTGGCAAGGATAATTTTGCATTACACAGATTAACTACCAGGATCTTCCTATTGAAACCAAGACTGTACTTCTTTTGTCTCTGCTCTTCAAAACTTTGTTTATCTTTGTTCTTGCAGAAAACCTGCCTACCAGAAAAAAAATTCATCAGGAAGAGTTTGGAGCAGAGCAACTTCAGGAACCAACACAGTGGGATGTGTTCTTTGATCCCCAAATTTCTGAACCAGTGGAGGTCAAATCCAGAAAACGGCAGGGGTTATTCCTGGAGCTGATACGAGCTTCTCAGGCTGATGAGAAAATGCCCAGCAATAGCTCCCAAGTAGGTTCTACTGTATCAAAAAGAAACTATCCCTGTTCTGAATGTGGGAAAAGTTTTGATCGCCGTTCCAACTTAATTAAACACCAGAGGATCCACACGGGAGAAAAGCCATATCCGTGTATTGAATGTGGGAAATGCTTTGACCAGCAGTCCAATCTAAACGTCCACCTAAGAGTTCATAGTGGAGAGAAACCATATGGCTGTCCCGATTGCGGAAAAAGATTTAGTATCAAATCACATTTACATGGGCACTATAGGATACACACAGGGGAGAAGCCTTATGAATGTGAAGATTGTGGGAAGAGTTTCCGTGTCAAATCTTCCCTAAATAAGCACCAGCGAACCCATATAGCAGCTGCCAAGCTCTCCAGACCATCTGAGATCAAATCAGAGGGTCCCCGAGCAATATTGCCAGAAGGGACACACGTTTATGCAGCTCCTGAAACAGAAAAAATAATTAAAATTATGAGGAGGAAGCCCCCTATAGAAATCACAGTGTCGAACAAGAATTTTTCCTGTTCTGAGTGCGGGAAAGGTTTTGATCGGCCTTCGCATCTTATTACGCACCAGAGGATCCACACCGGGGAAAAGCCATATCCGTGTGTTCAGTGCGGGAAACGTTTTCATCAGCAGTCTAACCTTAATGTCCATTTACGTCTCCATACTGGAGAGAAACCTTATGGCTGTCCTGAATGCGGCAAAAGATTCAACATCAAATCCCATCTAC